GCTGGAGGAAGTGTCTGGAGAGAGGGCGGTCTGGGCATCTCTGCTTAGACTGCTGCCCCTGCGACCCGGCCCCGGATAAGCGGAAGAAAATGGATGGATGGATGGATGGAGTCTTTTTGTTTTACATTTGGGGCCAGAAACAACAACAAAACAGTTTCACATTTTGGAAATAACAGGCATATTCACTTTCTTGTCGGGAAAAGCTTAATATTACTCTTATACAATGAATATGTAGCTAGAGCTATATTAAACAAAGAGGTGCTGGTAGGCTAGCTGTTTCGTCATTTCTAGTCTTTGTGCTAAGCTAAGCTAAAAAACTATAATATTTTATGGCCCTTGGGACTCAGGGTGACTTTAGGTTCCACAACAATGGAAATTTCAGAACATAGCTCTGTTTTAGGGCACTAACTGGCGTCAAAGTGCTGATGCAGCATTAAGTGAGCATAGTGCAAATGCTCACAGCATTACAGTGCTGAAACGTGAAAATGAAATAAGACAGGTCATAAAAATAGCAGAAAATTTAAACAGCACAGTTCAGCACTGGCATCAAATCAGACATCTGTGAAATCTGCCACTTTTTCATGACTTAGCCTTCCGATCTGCATGCCTTGGAAACAACATATATACACTTGCACCAGAGGAAAAAAAAGTTGGCTTTGCTCATTGGGTCTTGAAGCTGTATTATCCACTAGGAAAAATAGTGAGATGATGATTCTTCTGTAAAGACCAGCCATCTGTTAAGTGCAGAATTCATTCTGACAATAAGTGAAAATGTCCAAAGCATGCCGCCTATCCCAGTTTCCTCAAAAAGAAAACAAGTCAAAAGATGAGAGCTAATGCAGAGTCAAAGTTTGTAAAGAACTTCTAGGAAGCATGCACCAATGCAGCCAAGTCTGAAGTGCAGTTTCAAACACTAAGGAGGACAAATGGAAGCAATGAGTGAGACAGGGCAGATCCTTTAAAGTATCCAGCAGCCACCAGCACCAGCACCTTTTTATCCCACTGCTGGACTTCTATTTATCACAAAGGGTAGAGATCCATAAAGAAGTGATTGGTACCCTGAGCTCCTTGCTCCAAGATCCTGTGAAAACTGCTTAGCTGAGAAGGAACAGCTGTGCCCTGAAAATATCAGAGATCGGTTGTGTGTAGTGTGGACAGAAGGTGACATTTGGTGTGCATGAGTGTGGGTTCACCAGCCTGGACACTATCTAATGAAGAGACACAGCTTCGTAAACCAAGAAAAGGCAACCATGATAAATAGGGCACTGAAAGACAGAAACCATGTGTCTCTGTATTTAAAAGAGAAGCAGAAATGAATTGTGCCTCTTTACTCTGTGTATTGCTACTAGTTTGGGAGTTATTTGTTAAAAACACATGGACACACCTTTATCTTTGACTCAAAAAAAAACAGGCTGAGGTGAGAGGCAGAGAAAAGTAAGAGGATGAGTCATGCTCTCTGACATATCAACATTACAAACATCATACAGGAAACAGGAAAGTCTTTGAGAAAGGCTGAGTCCGACTCACAAATCAGACAAGTTATTTTTTTTGATGACGCTTCATATTGTGACCTCTGGCACTGTCTTAAACTTTTTTGTAAAATAAATTTAGATTGGGACTGTGTGTGGTTGTTTCTGGGTGGCAGGGTTGTTTTTTTTTAAATCCAATTCATTCATGTTACTGTGCTTTTTTTTGCATTTCTGACTTTTCATTGACTTCCTTTGATGTGTGGTCAAATTGCAGACCACATCAGATAAGGAAAATTTTTAGACTGACTGAGGTGGGGCCTGCAAAGGAAACGAAAGGTACGGAATGAATATTTCAACACAAGTCAATGTAGAATTGACTGGGGTTAAATACGGTATGTACCTTAAAAGAAAAAAGAGACTAAGTCATTTCTTCTAGAACTTACTGCACACACTAAACACTTAAGACATGCTTGTAATGTTTTAAAAAGCTTTAAAAGCATCACTTAAATGGCTAATATTAGTTATGTTAAGCAACCTATAGTACTTGTGTAATACAATAGTGTTAGTGTGACATTGATATAAAGCTTCAACACTTCGTAAAGAGGTGGATAGGTCAATAAAGTGTTTGACCTAGGAGAATGAGTATTGTCTGTTCACAGCCACTAAAGTCTGAAAAAGCCGTGTGTTTTCAGTACTGCCACCAGAAGGAGTGTAACGTCACCTTAGGGTCCTTTTTTGCTGCCGTCGTCTCCACTGGAATGTAAAAGCTTGTTTCATCCTGCTCAGTGCTTCATCATGCCCCCTTCCAGCCTCTCCACCTCTGCACACCGCAGAGCCAGTCTTCAGGACGAGGGCATGCCCCACCCCACATCACTGACCACTAAGTGGCTGTTTCAGAAATCTAAGTGCCATTCAGAAAAGAATGATCAGTTCAAAGAGTTGCTTGTCAACACCTGGATATAAGGAGAGCATCTGGATGTTAGAGTAACCTGTGGCTGAGCTCTTATTCAGTAGAGGCAGAATGATCGCAGTAGGAGGCAGAACAGTTAGAAATTGTTTCAAAACCTTAAGTCAGTGTTAAAATATTGTGATTTTATTAGCCTATAGCTACATAGTTTGTGTTTCCTGTCTTATGTTGAAAGCAAGTGCCAACTTTCATGTTTATTTGTGACCTTGCTACATTTCACTCAGAGCTTTTAGCCACATTTCATGGCCTTCCCCAGCAACTGGTTCAATACTTAGGTTATAAAATGATATGAGCAATGAGTTTGATCAATTTGCTCAAATATATTTGTTTTGGGTGTTTTAAAATATTTTGTCATTGTTTACATTTTAAATAAATGTGTCTGAATTTTAAAATGTGAAATGTTAATGTTTCAAAGGGAGTTAAAGTTGCATGTATTTACATGCATGCAGCAGTTCATGTGCAGGTCGGGACTTCACTACACTGATTTGTCTTGGTTTTCTCTGAGATAGAAAGTGTGAGAATATCTGAGTCATATACTGTCAAATGAGTTACAACTATTATTCTGTTTGGAAAGTTGCCTTTGGCTTCATCTCTAGTAACACAAAACGCATAGCAGCAATTTAGTCACCTTAACTTTATCCTGATCTATTAAACCTTCATTTTGTATTTGCGATTTCAGGAACATTTGGTCAAACATGTCTTTGACTCAGAGCAACCGAGTAAACAAAGCAATGAGTCTGACAAAGATAAAATGAGTCAGTTTAAACACATCAGCCCTATGAAAAGGCCAGAATAGTGACATTCACTCTGCAGAAATGTTCAGTGCACTCTGCTGTATTGTGCAATGCCTTATAAGTTTTTATTACTCCCAACACTGAAAGAGTAGATCCCACTGAGAGTGGAGAAGGCCAAAAGAGGAAGCTTCTGTTTTTTCTACAAAACTCCAAACAAACTGTGCAAAACAGGACAGTTTTCTTCACTGAAGAAGCTGGTTGGTGTTCCTGTGCTTCCCTCTAGCATTCAGAGGATCACTGTACTGTGTCATAGAAGGAAACGTTGTACAGGGGTTTCTCCACTATAGGAACATACTGTAACATCTCACACTGAGTAATGTTCGTCACGAGTTCTATGTTTGTTTCCACTAAACTCAGCCTGCTTTGGAGGTGCATTCTGAAAGCTAAATTTCAGCACCCCTCAGGAGGTAGGACTAATAAAGTTCCAGGACTACAAGGCGGGAAGGCATGCATGTGTGAAGAGCATGTTGCCAGTAATTGGTTAAATGTCCTGTCTTCACACAACTATTAGTATCATATGTAAACTCACAGTTTATAGTGTGTGAGAGAGGAGCAGCCCCTTCCTCCTCTAAACAGAGACCGACAGAGAGAAAATACAGTGGAAAAACAAAGCAGGACGGTCTGTGTCAACCCCAAAGGCTATGCTTGGTGATGGTTAAGGGAAGTACGGGGTGCACTGCTCGTTAGGCTCCAATAGTGGAAATGCAGCATATGTACAGTATAGAGGAAAAAGTAATGAAACAGCCACAGTGCTAAAAAGCCTAATGAGAACCCTAAGAGAAAATATCTGCATAATTCTATATATAATATAAACTGAAAATTTAATGCAGTTTGGAAGCTGTTTTATTTACAGCTTTATTTATAGCACACATTAACACTGTAAATGTGCCGCATTTTTTGAAAAAGCTGTTCACCATAGTTCCTGCAAAAATGAATTTTTCACCCATAATAAATAGCTGACTATCTCTTTATAAAAGGTTTTATATTTTTTTAATAAAATGAAACTAAGAAATATATTCAGTTCCTTGTGTAATCTAAAATGTGAAGGATCCAACTAATCATCATTTTCTCCTCCCCTCACTTCGAGGGGGTAGCTTTACAGCTACAAAGGTCCTGATTGGATTTGATATAATCTGACAGGATAGGTCATACAGTTGTACCAGGTTGTCTCACACACACATAAATGCCCCCACACATACGGACGTGTACAAACACCTGTACACTCACACACAGGACCACAAGACACACCAACTGTGTTATGCATATGTCATAACAATGCAGTGTTGTATCCTGAATCTAAAGACGTATATAGGATTTACCTGACAACTTTTTGGGCCCTTTGGATGTGAACATAGGGAGAAGTAATGAAAGTATCCATCGCTGTGGTGCCCTGCTGCAGAAGACTGAACATGGAGAGAAGCAAGACCTGTCCAGCTCATCCAAGCTTGGTAGGAAACCTTCAAAATAATAAAAGTTAGCATGGCAAAGCCATTTGTTTATGTTGCTCATTTAATTATAAATGATCTATGTGTATGTACACAAATATATAGAAATAAAGTCATCAATAATAGAAGAAAGTATGACACTGATGCACCCTGGACGCATTACATAGACACAAACCAAAAACACACAAAGCAAGAACAGCAAAATCACAAATACCAGCTATCAAAATAAAGCATGTGCACTTAACCTGTATAGGCAGGTCTGGAAAAGCATTTTAAAAAGCAATTTAAAAGATTATACTGACTCTCCTAGGTATGTGCTACAGCTGGCAGATGGCTCATTGTTTGACACGACTGAAATTGCAGACGGCAACACATTTATGGCTAATGACAAATTTATACAGATCTAAGAAAAGCTACTTAACCCAGGAATGGACCAGTATGAATTAATAAAATGAAGAAACTGGCACTTTGAAATCTTGTACCCTGGGTGATACAGTTTTTCAAATCACAGCCAGGGGAGATGTAATGGTGTAATAAACATCCTGGCTAATTTGATTTGTCTGCTGTTGTGCATAAGCTTGGTGAGATTTGTACCCAGAAATTACAGTCCAGTTATAACAGGCTTATACCAGATAATCTTGTTATAGCCAAAAGAGTCAGGAACAATCAGTGTCTGAAGTCACTACAACTGCTTGACCATACTGATTCACATTAGAATTACATTCAGTTTCATAACACTGAATTTTTATCAAGTTTTTTTTGTAGAAAATGATCTTTATTCTTAAAATACACTATGCAGGGTATGCAGTTACCTACCTTTTACAAGTTCTTGTAAAGCTCAAAGCAGCACCGGGAAGCAGACACCAGATAAAACTCCTGACATTGATGCACTTTTCTCTTCCTCACCCTCTTTCACCTCTATATCCCTCTTCTCAACTCCATACATCCCTCCATTTGCTTCTTTAGTTCCTCCTGGCCTCCTTGTGTTCAATGCCATTCCCAGCAGGGGCAGCCTGGTTTCGGGTCGGGGTGGTGGGACCCTGGGGGTGTGATCCTCTGTTTGCCAAGGCCCTTCCCAGTGTGGCAGCACAGCTCGCCATCAACCGCATCAACAGGGACCCCTCACTGTCCTACGCTGCAACGTTTGACTATACTGTGCTGCAGGTACACACCTGACCTTAGTATTCATCAGGGCACAACAGTGTTAACATACATGTTGTAAATTATTGCATCATTACAGTTTAATATCTACAGTATGTGCAAAGAGAGCTTCTCTGCGTTAGCTAAGGAAGCCATGTCCATAAGCCATGGTCAGTAATTTGTCTGATTTTCCTAAGATAGCACCACTAAGCAAAAGTAAAAGCTAAGAGAGAGAGAGACTTCTGGGCCAAGTGAAGGTCGAGGATTGATCAAATAAGGGAAATGGGGTTTTCTGTGGCTTGGAACTAGGGTTTGACTCAAAACAGCATTTATAACTGGGAACTGGTGTAGCATTGACACATTCATGGTTGAACATTTGATTTTTCTGTACTTCCAGATGATTTCACGACCGAGCTAATGTGAGAATTCATACAATTCAATACAGAAGCTCCCGTAGTGCAGTTCCAGGCTAGGTGTTACTGACTGAATACTGCCACTTTTCAGGAACCATGTGAGACATCGAGGGCTCTGGAGGCATTTGTGGGTTTCCATACCAAGGCCTCAGGGTACATTGGACCAGCCAACCCTGGGTACTGTGATGCTGCTTCAATGCTGAGCAAAAGCTGGAACAAAGTAAGTGATGTTGCAGTGGGAATGGCTACTCAGATATTTGCACATCAGAAATACAATGAAACAATTGTTTTCCTGGCTTTTTCTTTACCATATTTTCCTCCAGGCATTGTTTCCTTGGGGCTGTGTTGGCTATGAGTTGGATAATGTTCGGAGCCACCCGACCTTTGCCCACACCATGGCAAGGCCCACCTGGGTACTGCTTCGTGTCATGAACTACTTCAGGTGGGCCCACATCGGCATCATCTCTTCCTCAGAGGACATCTGGGTGGAAACAGCTATCAAGGTGTGAATTTTCTATTTGCATTTGTGGTACTATAAAAACTACTGTTGGTTTCCAGTAGCTACCTTGATCATGATTTTTTTTTAATAAAGAGGAACCCACACTAATTTGCTGGGACAAAATATTTGATCAAGAAGCCAAGACTACTTAAATGCTCAGAGGAGTTATTTTGTACATTTGCTTCCTCTTCTTATCGTTTCAACAGCTTGAGCTCATTTGACTGTGTGTGTGGGCTGTGTGCTGCGTCTATCTTGTCCAGGTGGCTGACTCTCTGAGAAGCCATGGTCTGCCGGTCAGACTGGTCAGCTTTATGGAGAACACACCTCAAGGCATCAGACGAACTCTGACAAAGGTCCGCAAGATGAGAGAAATACGAGGTCAGTATGGATTTGCCAGAATACAGCTGATCAGTTATGTGTATCTGAATGCTAATGGATGTATTGGACACTTTTCCCTTGCTTTCATCTCATTTACTTTTTTACTGACATTGTTGGAGTAAATGTGGTTCAACTGTAAATTATCCTTAGTTCATATATCTTAGAACCAAATCTAAAGTGTTGATTAAAAAGAAAAACTTACTATAAACTTGCCATAAAGTGTAAAGGCACTGACCACTGACTTATGAAATTCAAAGGTGACACTTTAAATAAAGGACTGTTGATGTAAAACATCCTTTTAAACTATAAAGTATGTTACAAACTGAGCTTCCTGCTACTGCAGCTTCTACTATAGCTAATATTGTTAGTAGAACTGCTGGTCTACAGCACTGAAGCATCCATTAGTACATTCTTCGTTGTTAGAAATGTGCAACCTGATGTACAATGTTTTTTCCTAGTTGTGATCCTCTGCATGCACTCAGCACTGATTGGAGGTGGAGCCCAAAAGCTGCTCTTGGAGATGGCCTATGACATGCAGATGATTGACGGCTCCCTGGCCTTTGTGCCCTATGACACCTTGCTCTACAGCCTGCCATACCGCAACACGACCTATCTGACTCTGAAGAGCAACAGCAAACTGTTGAGGGCCTATGATGCTGTGCTCACCGTCACCATTGACTCACCCCAAGTGTCATTCTATGAGGCCTATAGAGAGGCCATGGACAGGGGAGAGGTGGCAAAGACGCTGAAGCCACAGCAGGTGATTTATTGAACTGCAGACTTTGGGAATATAGGAATTTAATAAGAGGAATCTTGAGTGTGCCCTATTGAGATTACCTTCAGTAAAAAGCAGATGAGGTTGACATTATGGTGCATGTCCTGCAGGTGTCTCCTCTGTTTGGCACCATCTATAGCTCGGTCTTCTTCATGGCTCATGCGGTGCACCGTGTTTGGCAGTCCAGAGAGGGGATGTCTGGAGGAAGCCTGGCACAACACACCTGGAACCTGGCCTTCCAGGTCCTACGAGGACTGAAAATCAATCACACTGTGTTGAAAACAGTCAGGAAAAACAAATAGAAAAATACTTCAGTACAATTTGAATGCCTGGTTATAACTTTTCAATATCCAGAAACACCAAAACAATAAATGAACCAAAGCTCATAAAAAGGACAATTATAACTACATTGCTTACTATTGTTGCAGGGCTTTAGCCACCCAATCAAAACCAATGGCTCCGGAGCAGCTCTGCTAGACTACCTCATTCTGGATACAGACGGACTCTCCTGGGAACTGAAGCCAACATACAGGTGTATGAACACTGATACTTAGTGTACGGCTTATAACAGCTGCAACTTGGAGATAAATGAATAATCACTAATAGAATAAGAACTGTACCCCTGCGGCATATTCAAAGAAAAGTCTAATAAACCAGCAAATGAATAATCAGTAATAGAATAAGAACTGTACCCCTGCTGCATATTCAAAGAAAAGTCTAATAAACCTAACATACCGATTGAATTGTCAGGATTGACATGGAGGCTGGTGTTGTGCGGTTCCTGGGTCGAGACATCCACTTCCCTCACAGCTATGGACCGAGGAAGGACTCCATCTGCTGGTTTACTCCTGGAGTCATCTGCACAGGGGGTGAGGAATAAAACATATATGGATCTACTCATGCTGGTTGTTTTAGTTCACTATGGGCATTGTGAAGTCTGACCAGAAAATATTGGTGCACAGTACTGCTGCTAAATTCATCTTTGATCGTTTAATTTTGAGCAATTGTGCAGTAGCCATCCAGAGACTTTAGACATGCTGAGTCATGAACTTTAATTGCACTGTTGTATTCACTTTGTTTCTTCAAAAAAGGTCAATAATACTTTAGATTAAAACTCTGCTTTTCCTGTTTCAGGTGTGGATCTCTTCTCAACCATCAGCATGTTCCTAGGGACAATTGCCTTCTTTGTTTTTGCAGTGGCACTGATTTACTGCATCAGGTACAAAGTCTTCAGGTCATATCGTTTGGCCTGAAAGGTCTGTAATATGAATACAAATTGAAATCATTATTTGTAAGAAATTAACTTGTGAGCACTTTAGGCAGGTTGTTCTTAAAGGTGTTCTTGACAATTCATCACTTACTGTCCCTCTGTCTCTTGTCACCTAGGAGACGCATCAATCAGATTCAGCTGATTCGGGGTCCAGACAAGATATTATTGACCCTGGATGATGTCACATTCATAAATCCATTGCTTAGTAACAAGGTCAGCCTCTGTCTTCTTCTGGAACATTGTCTTTTTGTTAATCTTAAGATTATTTCATACTCTATGCAAGCTGCCTACATACTGTAAAGCTGCAAACACAAGGCCCATGCAAGTATTTTTAGTACATAAAGAACATGGTGCCATCACTTTCAGAAACATGCAGAACTAGAAAACTGATAAAGAACAAACTAAATATCGTGTCACAACCTGAGCTTCACTCCCTCCAGAAGCTGAGTCTGGACAACAGCAGGACCAGTGGCATGAAAAGTGTGTCAGAGCACAGCGCCACTTCGCCAGTCTCCACCCAAACCCCAGCCACCTACGAGAACTCCAACGTTGTCATTTATGAGGTGAGATACTCAGTTTGATCTGTACAGTGCAATGACATCTTCCTTCCTAGTCCTTTCTAAATTGTCAAAACCAAGGAACAAAACAGGCACAATAGACAAAGTGAAATGTATTTATCCCACTTTTGGAGCCTAAAAAGTACATTTGGCTTGTTTGATTTTTATTGAGCCTTTGTATAGATACTTAAAGTGCCAGTGGCATGCTGTGTTACGGCCTAAGGCATGGAAGGACCCAAATATGTAGACAATATTCAAAATAGTTCTATTAGAAATTTTATAAATACTGGACAAGAAACTAAAGGAAAAAAACAGAGTCTGAACCTGAAAGGGAAAAACAAAGAATGCCAAAGCTAAAACTAAACATCTTGGTCAGGGAGCAAGGTAAAAGAACTAAAACCAAGCCAGAGAAACTAATCAAGGAACTACTGACAGACAAAAATCCAAAACACAAAGGAACAAACCAAGCTAAGCCAGGGCAGGAACAGGCATGACACAGATGAAAAAACTTACAGGAGTACACAAAACTGGCAGGGTGTGGTGAACGATCATAGCAAGCAGAATGAACCGGCAACAGGCTGAGAGAAGGGAGGAGAACATATACACAAGAGAGCAGAGGATGATGAGGAACAGGCAGCTGAGGCGACACAGGACAGGAAGTCTAACCAAAATAAAAGCACAAAACTGGAAAGAAAACTGCAAACCGTAACATGCTCATTTTGCTTGTTTTCAGCCATTTAATGTTTAATCAAATTAAATCAAATTTTATTTGTATAGCACCAAATCACAACAAAGGTCATCTCAGGACCCTTTACAGAGTAAGGTCTAGACCTTACTGTTATCACTATTATTACAGAGGGAAAACCCAACAAATCCCCCTTGAGCAAGCACTTGGCAACAGTGGGGAGAAAAATGGGGAGCACCACCTCCTTTCCAGTTTTCATGATGCCTGCTTTAGGGAGTGGAGCTGCGAGCTGTACCATGGGCTGTACCCTTGTACCTCCTGGGCTGTACCTCCTCTGTTTCACTGCCTTCCTTTTCAGAGGGGCAATGGTATCAAGTGTATTACGCAGGGAGGCTGCATAATAATCTTCGGTACCTCTAGATTAGCCTGGCACCCATCATAACTCCAAATAGTTTGTAATTGTTTCAGAATCAGAGAGCCAGAAAATCTCTTCCTTAAAACGAGAGGACAGTTTGTGAACACGCACAACTCCTGATATTTTGTACAAAAATGAAAACTGCTACAATTAAAATCACAATGTTTTCAAATGAGGAGGTAACAGCACTTGATGTAGTATCTAGAAATGACTATAAAGGAGCTGCTTTTTATAATGGTTTGCCTCCTCCAGGGTGATTGGGCATGGCTGAAGAGACTTCCTGATGGGACATTTAGCAGCCTCAACCCCAAAGCCAGTAATGTGTTTGAACTGGTATGTAGACAAGTTGGCAAAAAATATTGAAATGTTCTACAAAATGCATCTACTGTCATTTTATTAACAAAATATGAGTCATAAAGCTAATAACAAAAACTAGCATCTTAAACATGAATGTATTATGAGAGCTGAACTACAAGATGGTGCCCACTTTTCCCACTGAAAGCTACTTGTGGTGATGTACCCAGCTCTGTTAATACATCCTTGATCCTAAAGTACCATTTAAATAAATGAAATATGTGTCTGTCTGCAGATGAAAGACATGCATCATGAGAACGTTAACCCCTTCTTGGGGTTCTTTCATGACTGTGGCGTATTCGCCATTGTAACTGAGTTTTGCTCCAGAGGCAGCTTGGAGGACCTGCTGCTGAATGAAGACTTCAAACTCGACTGGATGTTCAAATCTTCACTGCTACTGGATCTTATTAAGGTGAAATAGATTAGATTTGAGATGCCTGTGAGCAAGGCGCTAAGTACAAAATGTTTGATTGTTGCTTATAAGTATATGAGATAACAAAACATGAATTAATTGAGTTTTCTTTACATGATTTGGAAGAAAGCATTTCTCAATAAGTTATTCTTAACTATTAAAGGTGTAAAAACTGAAAACACTCCTAACTGTTTTCTTTCTAAGGGTATGAAGTACCTCCACCACTGCAGCGTGCCCCATACTCGTCTGAAGTCCCGTAATTGTTTGGTGGATGGGCGTTTTGTTCTAAAGGTCACAGACTATGGCTACAACAAGGTTCTGGAGGCCCAGAGGTTCCCCTACATCAAACCACCTGCAGACGGTGAGAGAACTGAACAGATTATGATGTGAGCCAGGGTCATGTGTTTTTGTTCTGGTGCAGATTGTTTAAGTTGTTAGCACAAACCGATGCAGTTCTTTGTGTTCCAGAGTTGTTGTGGATGGCCCCTGAGATCCTGAGGAGCGGGCAGCCAGGGCTCCACGGGACTCTCTCGGGTGACATATACAGCTTCGCCATCATCATGCAGGAGGTGGTGATCAGAGGGCCTCCGTTCTGCATGCTGGACCTGTGTGCTGCAGGCAAGACGACAACCTGACAAACCTGAGAACGCAGGATGAGAATAAACTCTAAAGATTGTTTAGTTTAGAATTCTTACAATTTCCAAAGTTAAGCTGTCCAAGGATTTTTATACACATATTGTCCAATTCAGGCAACACAATTCAGAGCATAAATCCAATATATTTATTTAGATTATGTTCTGGTTTAAACATTTTTTTTGCCTCAAGTGCCAAATGCAAATTTGAAACTAAAATCCAAACACCCCTTAGAGGAAAAGCATTTCATGGTTCCCAGAGAATGAATCCTAATGTCTTTGTTGATCCTAATATTTCTCTTTATTTCTCTGTTTTTTTTTTTAGATATAATAGAGAAGCTCTGCAAGCCTCCTCCTCTGTGTCGCCCAGTGGTCAGTCCAGATTATGCTCCATTAGAGTGCATCCAGCTGATGAAACAGTGCTGGAATGAACAGCCGGAGAAGCGACCCAGCTTTGATGACATCTTCGAACAGGTAATCAGGTTTGAAAATCATTTAATTCAAATCAAATCAAATCAAATTTTATTTGTATAGCGCCAAATCACAACAAAACTCATCTCAGGACACTTTACAAAGTAAGGTCTAGACCTTACTGTTATCAATATTATTACATAGGGAAAACCCAACAAGTCCCCCTTGAGCAAGCACTTGGCGACAGTGGGGAGGAAAAACTCCCTTTAACATAGGGAGAGAGAGGAGAGGGGAGGGGCGGAGAGGGGAGAGAAAAACTCAGAGCATCATGCGGCACCCCAGCAGCCTAGGCCTATAGCAGCATAACTAAGGGAAGGCTCAGGGTCACCTGATCCAGCCCTAACTATAAGCTTTATCAAAAAGGAACGTCTTAAGTCTAATCTTAAAGGTAGAGAGGGTGTCCGCCTCCCGAACTGAGACTGGGAGTTGGTTCCATAGGAGAGAAGCTTGATAGCTAAAGGCTCTGCCTCCCATTCTACTTCTGTGGACTCTAGGAACCACAAGTAAACCTGAGAGCAAAGTGCTTTGTTGTGATGAAGCTCTATGAGGTCTTTAAGATACGATGGAGCCTTGTCATTAAGGGCTTTGTATGTTAGGAGAAGGATTTTAAATTCTATTCTGAATTTTACAGGGAGCCAGTGGAGAGAAACTAATATGAGAGAGATATGATCTCTCTTGCTAGTTCCTGTCAGTACTCTGGCTGCAGCATTTTGGATTAACTGGAGGCTTTTTAGGGAATTATTGGGACATCCTGATAGTAAAGAGTTACAGTAGTCCAGCCTGGAAGTAACAAATGCATGGACCAGTTTTTCAGCATCACTTTGAGACAGGATGCTCCTAATTTTTGCAATATTGCGCAGGTGAAAGAAGGCAGATCTAGAGACTTGGCTTATATGTGATTTAAAGGACATATTCTGATCAAAGATGACTCCAAGGTTCCTCACAGTAGTACTGGAGGCAAGAGCTATGTCATCTAAAG